ATGTCCTGTGGGAGGGACCCTATGCTGCAGCAGGGGAAGAGTGTGAGGAGTCCTCCCCCTGAGGAGGAAGGAGTGGCAGAGACAATGTGTGATGAACTGTCCGCAAATCCCATTCCTTGTCCCCCTGTGCTGCTGGAGGGGGAGGAGGTGGAGGAAACTGGGAGTGAGGTTAAGCCGGAGAAGAAGAGAAGAAATAAGTATTAAACATAAAATAATAACCATGTTTAAACATAGCAAACAGGAGGAGGAGATACAGCTCTTGGACAAGAATTTATATTCATAAAGGAGACATTTTCAAGAAATGTCAAGTCTAGGGTGTGTGTATACCTCTTTGAGCTACTGCTGTCTAGCACAGGCAGGTTAGCAGGGGATAGCCTGAGCTCTGATACTATTTTAAGTCCTTGTTCCTGATACATTGATGAATATACTAGTTCCTAAAGACTCCAGTGTGTAATGTTTGATAGTTACTTTAGAGTTCTTCCAGGGCAAAATGCCAAGTGTACTCAGGAATTTTTTTATATGTTAAAACTGGTTGACTTCTTGATCCCATTAAAATAGTTAGTTTATGAATGTCAGGATCACTGCTAACAGTATGTGTTACTATGTATGCTAGTTCTTGGTCACCATGGTGGAAATATTGTAGTGTTGTGACGCGATGTGATCTCAGGCTTGCCTGTGAAGCTAGTAATGGAGGGAACCAGATATGAGAAATCTAGTAAGTCTATAAAGTGCTGATGAGGCCTAGAGGGGCATACAGAAGAGCAGGTGGGCTTCATAGAGTCTTTGAGACTTCAGTCTTTTAAAGGCATTTTAATGAAGCCATGTTATCTTTTTAAAGTGAGGCATGTTTTTTTTTTCTTTCTTAAAATTGCCTCCATATGGAATGCTAAATTTAACAAAATGGCTTTGGGGAAAAATTGTATGTATGGTACTTCTGAATAACCTTTGCTGGGTGGACCAAGGATTTAATCAGTGAGTCACCAGGTGAGATGGTTTTTAACTAAAGAAAAGTTCTGTCAGGAACGGGTCCAAAGTTCATGTCATTGCAATATCAAAATAATCACTTTAACATTGGAATAAAAAATAGTATTCAATCTCCTCTTCTGAAATGAGTTTTAAATTAGACTGCTTTGGAGCCTGCAGTTTAATATGTCAATTTGTAATAAATGCTGCTCTCTTGACAGGAGGAATTACACCTCTTGAACCTCTTCTTAAAGCTGAAGAAGGGACAGGACAGGAAGGGGCTCAAAAACCTGACCAATAATAAATGATCATAAATAAATATATGGTTATATTTAGTCTGCAGAAGCATTCTGGACAGAATTTTCAACTATCAGGTTATTTTAAGGGTGGCTTGTGGTCTGCTGGTTGGAAAGCAATAACTGAATATTGGCTGAGAATGGTGATCACAGTCTTGTGGGTAAGATTATTTTGTGAAATATCACGGAACCCTTTGTGGGGAAAATTGTCTTTTGGACTGAAATCTCCATATTTTTTATTTTATTTATTTATTTTAATGTATGTAATGGTATGATAGTCTAGGTCAGGCTGGGCTAAAAATACTCTTTCACATGAAGCACCTGAAAACACGATCATGAGATTTCAAATTTGTAAATCTAGCATTCAATTTTTCTGCTTTTTTCCAAGTCAAAAGTGTTTTTAGTTAATATACTAGAAATTAGTAGGGTTGGTTGTAAGACAAGATCATTTATGTCACTATATGGAAATCTTCCATCTGCAGTTTCTGTGAGACTGTTCTGCTCCTGCATCTTTTGGCCAACTAAAATGGCATTTTTGGCCCTTTTATCATTCTCTTGCTCTCTAACAGAATACTATTTTTTGTGCTCTTAATTTTGTTGCTGGCTTCCTGGCTCTGGCTTTTTAATGGATGTGCATTCTTTGTTCTAGCACTTTCATCCTTGAATGCTGTATTCTTACGCTTATTGGATGATTCTGCTCACTATTGTTTCCGCAAGTTTCTTCAGCATATAATCTTTCTCTCCATTTTAATCTGTGGTCTGTTTCTAACAAAACTTGTATAAAGATAGGAAGAAATTTTGACTCACACATTGCAATACTCAGTCAGCTGGCTCTGTGAATGTGTTAGATGTATCAAATTACTTAGTGACAATATAAATTTAAGAGAAAATAAAATTAATCCATGGAATGCAAGTCACAGGAGACTCAACAAGTCTAAAGGCACCGCTTTGCTTCTGTATAACTAAGCTTCATACTCTTACCCTTTTGAATTTTTCCTTTACTAAATGCTTTGTACCATTTTAGCTCTTCAGTTCTATTCCCCCTTTTCAAAAATTTATTTTTAAATGCCTCTTTCTCCAGTGTGGAAAATATATTACTTTTTCCTACTTTGCATGAACTTTGTTCTTCATGCTTTTTCTTTTCTTTTAGATGTTTTCATAACTCCATCTTTTTTACCTCTTATATCTTGAACCACTGTTTGCTTGTTATGCAAGTGTTGTGATGCACTTCTAAGCATGGAGGAAGAGTAATTTGCCACTTCTATTGCTTGATTTAAAATGTAGATATCTGTTTGATCTCTGCGAATACCTCTGTACTTCGGTCTATAGTGTTCTACATGGATAGGATACGTGGACTATGCTGTTTCATTCTTTACGCACATGCTGTAAATAGCTAAAGCTTTCCTCCTTGTTTCTTTTTTCATTTTTAGGCATACGCATCAGGATGTGATATTGTGGTACTGGGGACTGACTTTGAAAGATTACAGATAATCCCTGGAGCAAAACATGGAAACATTCAGGTGGGATGTGTGGACTGTTCAATGCAACAGGGGAAGGTACGTAGAGCAGCGTTTCTAATAATGTTCTAGCAATATCATATTAAGCACCTTCTTGAGAGTGCGGATACTTGCAAGGTAAAGCAAATACAGAAGAGTGAATAGTAAAATGGCCGATTGCTCCATGTCTTTATTTGTGGTAAGCAGCACACTGAATGTGAAATACTAACCATAGTTATAAGATTGTAGAAGATATGTAGGGCTGCACAGGAAGATGTAGATATGCACAGGGCTGCATAGAGGAGATAGCAACAATTTGACTAGAAGATGAGTAAGGTAGAAGCAAAGGTAATTTGTTCACTATGGTTTCATACTACTTGGCGTGTCATTGACATACTTTGACATGTTTGTAGTTGGTAGCAGATGAGAGGTTCCACAAAAATCATTTTCAGGTCATTCAGAAAAATGACACCCTTTCAAGCAATTCATAAAGGTTTAAAATTGCTCTTGGACAGGGTTTTGCTTTCTTGAATTCTCAGCTTTTCTTTTTCTTACGTAGGTAAACTGGATCAGAAATGTTGTATTTTAGACACTATTAGGTTTCAAGTCCTTTTTACATAGGTCTTTCTTAATTGTTCTGTCATAGTAAAAAAGAAATAACCAGGTAACTGTATCCACTGGGATGTCACAGTGTGATTAAGCTGTTCACCAATTCAGTAGGAACTGTGTTTGGGTACATGTTGGCTTACCAAAGAGAGTTTTTTTACTTTGTTGCTTTTTGTGAGTAGATAAGGTGAGCCTTTTGCACATCACTACAAGCCTTATGAGTTGATGAGAGCTTTGGTTAGATTCTGGTGTCTGTCTTGAGATGAGACCTCTGCATGGAAAGCAGTTAATGTTTACATGTGAAGTCTATGATGATGATCCCCAGCCACTCTCTGTTTCTGCTTTTTAATGTTTGAGTGATGAACTCTTACAATGGTGGTGAAGGAACATAAATGAAAATGAGGAACTGTTCTGCTCTGTGTCTCTTGGTACCTCATAGCCATAAAGACTGCGTGTGTTTCTCCATTGGCTGCTGTTAACTAGAAAGCTTTTTTGAGTTCACTGACTGTATATTAACAGATAGTGAAATACACGTGCAGATCACATGTCACAGTTAATCTTATAAAATTTTTCTGCAAATTTGCAGGGTCATCTTGACCGCACAGTAGCGGTTCTATATGCATTTAAATGACAAACTGTCCTTGAGTTGTAAATTAACACATATGAATATATCAAATGATCAAGCTTACTAAGCTTTAGAATTTTTTTTTCTTAAATGATTTTGATTCTGCAAGTTGGTATGGTTTGCTGTTAGCAATTAGACTAGATGTATTTGCAGAGTGCTGAAATACTAAGCAGTGGACTCTGCTTATTGACTGCACTGGTCAATACCTCTCCAGTTCACTGTTGCAAGGATGGAATTTCTTCTTGTAGCTTCTTCATTGGTATTGACACACAGATTTCTATTCAGTTTACCTCCAGTTTATTCTTTGTTGTTTAAAATCTATAGGAAGAAGCACAATGCAAATAATGCAGCTTATTTAGGCTGCAATTTTGAACCTTTCTAGAAAGCATCAAGTTATAATTTGTAGTTTATGAATTTCGTACCTTTTTAACTTTTTACTTTATGGAGAACTGCTATCAAGCATTTTCTCCATAATAGCTGGCCTTTACTGTCTTTGAAGGATCTCTGTCATTCTCCCTTTGGATGACAGAATTGATTTGTAAAAGAGTAATTTTTTAGTTGTGCAAGTAATGAGTTGAAATTTTTCTTCGTTCTTGCCCCATAAATCTAATTGTAGTTTATTGGGAAGCTAGTGCCTTGTGAAGCTACTTTGAAGCACCAACAGCTTAGAAGTTCATGTATGACCCACCTCTCCCTTGGCTTTGAAGGGTGGGGGGAACATGGCACCATCTTTTCTTTTCCTAGTCTAGTTTTGGAGATTAACTTGATTCTCTGTCTCCATGAATGAGATGAGGGGAAAAAAATGGATGAGAATTTTTAATCATCCCAAGAAAGCATGTATGAATGTGTTTATATTTACATGTGTTTGTATGTGTATGTATATAAACTTTTTAAAAAAGTCTCCCATGGATTTGCTTGCAAAGACTAGTTTCACAAACAGGACAATTTAATCTTAGGCCACTGAATCCAGTCTCTTGCCTCTGGTTGTAGGCAACTTAGTAATCAACAACTTATTTGTAAGTGGGTGCAGTACTTGATCTTCTCCCACACAATGTGAGCTACAGGCTGCTTTCCAGGCTGCTTTTTTTTCTTTAGTGAACATAAGAATTAAGGCCAAAACTTTTAATGATAACCTGATAAAACTTTAATTGTTTTCATGGTTTGGCTTGTACAAATATCTAACATTAGAGTACAAGAAGATGGTCCTCGCTTCAGATCACTTGAAATGTTTCATCAGTTGTTTGTGTCATGGCTGGTGATTGCAGTATTACAAGGTATATGAAGTATTTTCTTTATGGAACAAACTATTTTACTGATGTCAAAGGAAAACATAGGTACTAATTAAAAGTTTCCTTTGGTTTACATGATAATAGGTTACCTGTAGAAAATTGGTAAGTAAAACCAGTAAGTTTGTTAAATAAGACATTTTTAAATAGGACCTTTTTTTTCATAAGTAGAACTACTAATTATTTTGAGTATGAAAGCTCAGTTTTGAATCAAGGGTTTATAATTTTGTGAACTATACTAGGGTGGGGGTTTTTTGTTGGTTTTTTTTTTAGTACGCAGTCTGTGGATTCTTTTCAAAGGAACTCTGTTCCATTTTCTGCTGTTTGGTAGTGAGTGATAATATAACTTGATACGAGCTACAGACCTTTTGATGAATGAGAAAAATGTTGAGGACTTCTATGCAATATGGAGGCTTGGTGGAAATAAACATAAGTGTATCAAGAAACTATTTGGATTATACTAAGACTTTAGAAAATGAGAAACTGATGCTGCCAGTTCTATTCCTACTTTGGACAAAGTGGTGAGGTGGACAAAGTTGTTGCTCCAAGGACTGATGCTTTATTCGTATATGATGGTGCAAGAATTATAGAGTCACAGAATGGTTTGGGCTGGAAGGGACATTTAAAGATGCTTCAGCCCAACCCACCCCCCACCTACCCTTGTGGTCAGGAACATCTGTCACTAGATTGCATTGCTCAAAGCCCTATCCAACCTGACCTTGAATGTTTGAAGGGATGGGGCATCTACCACCTCTCTGGGCACTGTTCCAGTGTCTCACCATGCACATTGTAAAAAACTTCTTCCTTATATCTAATCTAAATGTACTGGCTTTCATTTTAAAACCATTACTCTTTGTCCTATCACTACAGGTCCTGGTAAAAAGTCTTTCTCCATCTTTCTTATAAGTCCCCTTTAAGTATTGAAAGGCTGCAATAAGGTCTCCCCAGAGCCTTCTCTTCTCCAGGCTGAATAACCCCAACTCTCTCAGCCTTTCTTCATAGCAGAGGTATTCCATCCCTCTGACCATTTTTGTGGCCCTCCTCTGGACCCACTCCAACAGGTCAATGTCTTTCTGGTGCTGGGGACACAGGAGCTCAATGCAGTACTCCAGGTGGGGTCTCACTAGAGCAGGAGAATCACCTCCCTTGCCCTGCTGGCCACCCTTTTTTTGCAGCCCAGGATACGGTTGGCCTTCTGGGCTCCAAGCGTGCATTGCCAGCTCATGTTCAATTTTTCATCCACCAGGATCCCCAAGTCCTTCTCCACAGGGCTACTCTCAATCCAATCAGTCCCCTTGTCTATACTGATACTGGGGATTGCCCAAGGTGGAGGACCCTGCACTTGTCCTTGTTGAACTTCATGAGGTTCACATGGGCCCACTCCTCCAGCCTGTCAAGGTCCCTCTGGGTGGCATTCCTTCTCGCTAGCGAACCAACTGCACCACTCATCTCGATGTCATCTGCAAACTTGATGAGGGTGCATTTACTACCACTGTCTACAATTAAGAATGACTGTAACCTTTCTCTTACAACTCAGTAAGGCTTCTCTGCACATCTTATTTCTCCTAACAGCACTTGGGACTACAACAGACGTTTGGTTGATGTCTGGGTGGTTATTGTTGTAGTTTGGGAAATTCCGCAACACATGTTTGCATTATTCTTTTTGGTGGCATGCTGCTCAGTGAGGACTAGTCTGAGTGGCTGTATCATTGTGGAAGCCTCTGGAAACTTTCAGAGGGCAGCAGTTGCTCTGGACACTATTTGTTTAGCATTTTGGCATGCTAATGTTAGTTTGTCTTAAAAACCCACTAAACAATAAAAAATGGAAGGATTGTCCACAGTTGGAAAAAAGGAAAAAGGAAAAATCTAATGGATACGAGGTTATATAAACTACTTGCTGTTGAGGTGTGGAATGGAATTACAAGAACAAAAGAGTAATTGTGGTATTTAAAGAGAATTAGAGAGGGCAAATATTAGCCTGAGATGTAAGAAAAAAGTTTCTTCAGGCATTTTGCAACTATGACAAAATTATTCTTGGCATTTTTGGGTCAGGCTGATGTTTAGGTTGCTCGTGTGATAGAAATTTGTTTAATGATCTGTTCTTTTTAATGCAGAGGGCTTCTCTTGAAGCTATGGATCTACGGATTTTAGGATCTGTATGGATCTGTGCATTTGTATATCTGTACATTTGTAATTAACAGATCTGTAAATAACATGAACAACTTGGGTATGACACTTTAGTGCTTTTTTTTTTCCTTAAAGCTGCTGTGGTGGATACTGAAATCAAAATGTATTTTATGAAGTGACTGGCTTTCTTTAATGTTGTTAAAGGGAAACTGTGAATATTTTCTGAGCCAGAATTTCACAGATATAGGAAATTGACTATTACAGCATATCAGAACTGTAGATGTGCTCCCTTTTAACATCAAGCATCACTGCAGAATGCAGGATGTCCATTATGCATGACCTGTGCAAACTCCTTAATTTTTGTATTTCAGAGTAGTTTTAGGCAACATTGCCTTGTGACGGTGCTCGCAGGCTCTGCCTGAGGGCTTTAACATATATTTGGCTTGTTTTGGCTGCTCTTATCAAGTCTTTTAGGCTTGCTTTTATATAGATATCTTGAGATAAAATACTCCTAATTTTGTCTTAATGCAAGTTTGGGGTGGCTGATATCACTGATGGAATAAGACTTTGAAATACCAATTAAAGCTGACCATACTGCAACTTTTTTTTGAAGTATTTTATGTTAGCATTTAGTAGTTCTTCTGTTTTGCAGTTCTCTGAATTGGGTGTTTAGCTTATGTAGCTTATGAGTCTTGTGAATTATCTTTTTATAATCTAGCATGTTCTCATGCCAGGGAAGTCCACAAAAGGACCCTGAGCCAATGTTGGTTCCATTTCTGAGAATGTGAACTCAGCAGACTCCTTTGAGTGTTTACCTAATTTAATGTGGAAAGAATATTGATAATAGATCTAATTTAAAAAAAAAAGGCTCATGTCCACCTGTACTCTCAGTAGTTCATCAGGACTAATGTGTAAGTAAAGAATTGTATTTTTATTATCATCAACACTTGCTTCATGATTTTTGCTAGATGTCATTTTGCTGTTATTGAAAGGGAGTATGAATGTGAGCTTCAAATTTATCTACAAGGAAGGTTAAAAGTAGAATCAACAATTTGCATTTTATTCTTGTTCTGTAGCTTGTTTCTTCTGTGTGTGTTTATGTACATATAAATTCCTTTAGATTGCAGCTTCTTACGGAAATGTGATTTGTATCTTTGAGCCGGTTAGCCTCTTGAAGCAGAACAGCAGTCATCATAATGTGAGTAATTCATCACTCCTTAATTCATTTACTCAGGTATAAAGCCTGACTCATTTTCTGGTTTGCTTTAAAGTTGAAGATTTCTTTGTCTTCTTTTAATGCTGGAATAAAATTGAGAGATAAGATGGTCCTTGGGAAATGAAAATGGTAGGAGGAGGGCAGAAACATTTTTTGAAATAGTTTTAAAAGGAATAGGTTTTACTATAATGCTTCATATTAGTGATTTCTCAAACCCTACAATTCATAACTGAAATATTCCAGAACCCAAAAAGAAGTGCATGTTTCCATTCTCCAAAGAGTATAGCCATTACAATAGGAATTCCTTTTTGAACCATCCTGTGTAGCCTTTATGTCCTGATGTGTTTTACAATTCTTATTTTAACTTTGGTTTATGAAACTACATGCTCTTGGTGAAATCTTTTATAGTTTCAAAAAGTCATTTATTGTAAAAGTTCTTTAGAATATCTGACTGCATGCTTATACTTCAGTGTTATGACGGTGAGTAAGAGCAATATTTATTCTCTTGATAGCATAGCTTAGTTTTGGTGACAGTGGTTTAGTGAATTAGTGGCCAGAATCTTAATTTCTGGCTAATAATGTGATTTAGAGCAAGTTATTAAACCATGCTTCTTACACGGGGAGGATTACTCATATAATTAGAAGCTTTAGAGTCTAATTAAAGTCAGTTTGATGATATGAGGAGACTTTGATAGCAATTGCTCAAGGAGCTTGTGTCTCCCTCTTCAGGGGTTTGGTCTCTCCATTTATATTAATAAATTGTTTATATGGCTGTATAGTGGATTCCCTTCTTTATACTAACCAGCTAAGTCATATGGTTCCTGGTGTACCTGTAAACTAGTGGTATTTTATATATTAATTAAATAGCTGGTATTGAATATCAATGTATAATATTTCATACCACTAGAAAGCAATGGAATAAAATAATGGTACAATGTGACTTCGTGTGCTTATATGAACTTTTTAGAAGTACTGCTCTCCTTTTTAATCATTGGAGCTGTTGAATCCATCCTGAATGTTTTTCTATACCTGTAAACACTACACTTACCTTGAAACCTCGAAGTTAGTCTAGTAACTGTATGCAATAGAGGAAGCACTCTTCACCCATGATTTTCTTTCAAATATTTTATAATTGAAGAAATATTCTGTTACTTCATTCTTGCAGTTAACATCTATGCAATAATTTCCAGCATATTTAGGTTGTCGTAGGATTGTCTGTCTTCTATTTACTGGAATGTTCAGAATCTAAAAAAAAAAAAACCAACAAAACCAAACAACAAACCAGCTTCAGAAATATTTTATTTAGATCTTTATCAGCAGGTACTTTTTACTGTTTTCTACGAAACTTGTGGAAGATTTTGTTGTTATATTTTAACTTCAGCATCTATTGGTTTGATATTTTTGGAGCGAGGGATGATTACTTTAAAAATGTCTGTCTTTGTGAAGAAAGAAAAAAACTTGTTGACTCTAAATATTATTTCCAGTAATGATTTCAGTTTCTTCTGTAATTCAAATCATCAAAACTTTGCAACCTATTATGTAAACAGACCAGATAAATACTTTGTTAATTTAATCCTTAGCTTGTTCCAGTGAATGAAGTAATGACGCAAAATCTGAAGATAGCTGACTGTCCTATTGTATATTTTAAAAAAGGGGGGAGGGGGAAATATCATATATGTTATCTTGACCTTATTGAAATCCTTTAATTCAACAATACTACTGATATCAAACACCAGGTGCATTTAGTGTATTTCATTTTTGAAATATCTTTTTTTCCCAAAAATAAAATCAGACTTCCCTTTAAAAAAAACCCAGATTCTGATGATGATTATATGTACTGAATTTTTTTAAGATATATTTTTAAAATAAGAACTTAGAAACTTCTATTTGTATGGTCAGATTAATGGAAAGCTATTTTGTTTAAAAATCAGAATGAATCCATTTTTATGAGGTAAGCAGTAATGTATTTTTAAACACATCCTTCATAAAAGTTGGAGGATGCAGTTAAGATGTACTATTTCTATTATGAAAGGGGAGGGGAAGGAAACATTTTAATGTTTGTGAACACTTAAATTTCAGACATTACATTATCAGTGGCAGAAGAATGCTCAAATCTTACTGGAAGCCATAGCACATAATCTAACGTGGGATCCCACAGGTAAGAACAGAATAAAAGAAACACCTAACTATTTGATACCGCAACTAATTTTTTATTTAAATTTCACCATTCTTTGGGGACAAGGAAACAATTTTTGTTTTGCCTTGGCATAATAGAGAACATTAAATTGGAGTGAAATCTACCTTTTGTCACTTGCTATAGGAGAGCCAAAATATTAGGTGCATCTGTATGGTTGTACTTGATTATCCTAATCTTAGCAGTATCTAATTTTTAAAAACATGGCTTAAATGGTAAGCATTTGTTAAGAGGGATGTCTACAGTAGCTCTAGGTGTTTCTTTTAGAGAGTAACTACTTTGAAAATTTGATTAATTTTCACTATTTGAACTGTATGTAGGTACTCTCATAAGACATTTTGATTTGAGTATCTTCTTGCAAGATTGACCCAGTCTATATCCATGTAGGGGAATATGTAAAAGGCACACTGCTATTATAGTAACTTTGCTATAGAAAAGGTGTTAAAATAATATCTGGCGTATTTTGTTCTGCAGTTTCAGCTTTGCAAAAGTGTTTTTTTCTCTCTCTTTACAGAAGTCTTTATTTTGCTACTTGTTTTGTAGTTATATTGTTATAAATATTTGCTTTAGGCACTCGTCTTTTGACTGGTTCCAGTTGTCTTCAGCTTTGGTCCAATGTTCCTTTGGAAAACCCTTCTGACAATGACAATACTGAAAGAACAGGTGTTGGACTAGGAGAATGGAGGTGTATCTGGCAATGCAAGTAAGAAACTTGTTTGAAGACAAGTAATTCCTTTTTCCTTGCTGATTCATATCTTTCAGATGAAATACTTAGTGTAGTTTAATGAAATCCTATTCTATACTGTTACTTGATAAATATTACTGATATGTGATAAATTTGAATCATATTTCCCTTGAATATGTGACATTTCTTTCTTCCTACAACATCGGTTGTAATTGTTTTTGGGGTAGTTTATGTTCTTAGGCAGTTCTTCAATTATATTGAACACTAGTAAAATACTGAGGGAAGGCTGCTATTGAGACTGTCCCAGTCGACTTTGTTCCTTGTACAAGAATTAAGGTGAAAGCTGCATAATTGAAAATTATTGTGCTTGCAGGATGGATGAAAATAAACTTCCTTCTATGTCCAATGTACTGCACCTTTCTTTTTCTCACACATCTCCCCCCTTTCACACACCTTTTCCTGTGGTTATTCTGTATATTTGGAACAGTTATGCAAAGATGGATGCATTCTGTTTTTCATGTTGATTAATCATTTTAATCTTTGTGTCTGTGTATTGATACATTCAGAAGAGTTTTAGTTTAGTACTTCAGTTATAAAACAATTGAAATTACAGTCCTTTCTGCCTTTATTGAGACACCCTTGGACCCTCATCTCTCAGCCTAGTAAGAGGAGGAGTCAGCCTGTAAATAGAATGCCATGGGTATGGCTTTAGAATCTGGGGTTGTGGTAACAGTAGTCCAGATCATACAGATACTGCTTTTCCTCTGTCCCTTCAATAATATGTTTTGCATTTGTGTCATAAACCTTACAGAAGTGTTCATAGCTCTCCACCTGGTTCCCTCTTTTAAACTCTTTTGTGGAGGAGAGAGCTGAGTGTTGTGTACTTGGCACTGGTAGGTTCTGGAAAGGGTCAACAGAACTCACTTTGTCAGTTCACCTTTTGTGCCTGTATGTCTTCTGGCATTTGTACTTCAGTTAGATTTAGAATAGGGCTTTTCTTAAGGAGAAGTTTTCAAGATAGTGATTTTGCAGTACTACCCTTTGCCAGAATAATTTTTTATGTCCAAAGGAGGCATTCCCAAATGCCTTCATAGTGGCTCTACTAGGAGAATGTTGCTTAATCCTAGGCGGAAATTGACTTTCTTTGATGCACAGCTTTTGTAATTGACTTATTGTTGTTACTGCACCCACTAAATGCATCATGTTTTTGTTGACCTGATGGTTAACTTAATCCTTCTTGAAATTAGGCCTTACAACTTGTTTATACATGTCTAATAAATTCAGGATGAAAACATACACTGTAGTTGTGCTGCACCATTAAATTCTTGTATGTTCTTGTTGCCATTAATAAGCCTGTCACTTAGGCAATAGCTCAGTGCTTCAACACCTATAAAAGAAACTCATTTATTAGTATTTCCGATAAAAGTAAAACACAGCAAAAATGAACCACATAACTAGGTTTAGATTATTTTGGTGTGGTATCTTTTATCAGTTTGACCATTAATGTAAAAACCACTTTCAGATACTTCTTAACTACACTATACTTTTTATACCTTTTTATTTTCTTGAGTTACAGCTGTAGGAAGTATGAGAAATGGAGGTGTCTTTCAGATAAGTTGGAAGATAATATGGGACAGCAGAAATCAATTTGAAATCCAAATGATTGTGAAGTGGAAGTAGAGCATATCTTCATAGAATTTAATCCGTTAGCATCTGTTAAAAAATATCCTATGATATTTTGGAATATTGGATATGGTAGTACCCTCAGCTACAGCTTTTTGGTTTTCTGTTTTTCCTGTGTGACCACAACTATGTGTTGCACACAAGTTTACCTCCTAGTTCTTCTGGACTTTGTTAAAGCTTAAGTTGTTTCACACAATACAATGGACATTTGCATATAAGAATTAAATGACTTTCATGAGTTCAAGGGGAAAAAATGTTCAGAGTTCTGAAAAAGTTCTTAAAACTTGTTTATCTATTTTTAATTGTCTTTATTTCATAGAACTGCTTCTCAAGTTTGTTTAATGAAATTCTCGCCAGATGGGGAGTTTTTTGCTACTGCTGGAAAGGTAAGCATTTTTTTCTAATTTGTTTTGTACTAATTCAGATAAGCTATTAAAGCAAACAATCAAAACAAAACCACACTTTTTTTTTTTTAAAAAAAGCTTTTCAGTGAAAAATTTCTTTTTTATATTTTTTTGCATAGTATTTCCAGTAATCACTCTATGCATCTTTACATTTTGGTAAATAAGAATTTGGGAGAAAGGTAGTTTGGGGGGGGGGAACCCAACAAATATTCACTGCTTATTATTTTAAAAATACCCATTTTTAATCAGTACCAAATTATAAGACATCAGAAAGAGTTTCAGGGAATGGGGGACATCTGTGAATGAGCTCTGTGATGGATATCCTTCTAGTGAGGAAATATATTCAGTATTTCACTATTATCGTGACACCATTAATCAAAAATAGCTCTTTAGTATCTTTTTGTGTAAATGTGTCTGTATGCCTATTTGTATACATAGAAGAGAATTCACATTCCCCTCCACAGGTGTATTTGCACATAATTAATGTCAGTGTTTGAGGCCAGTCTTACAGATTAGTTCTGTGTGCTCAGCATTGAGTGATTTATCAGCAAAAGCAATAAAACCCCTTGGCAAAATAAGCAAAAAAGTTAAAGCAAAATGTCACTGTCATGTTTTTTCACTTCCTGAAACACTAATCTTTTATTTATACTACAAAACTTGTTCTTCAGGTTTTGTAAGAGAATAATATCCTAACAAGTCAAAGCAGAAGAAATCAAGAAAATGTAGAGGATCCAGTGAAAAAGTGTAACAAATCCATACAAGAATTTATATTGCTTGTTAAGGGACGTGAGATGAGTAGTTGTTTTCTGCAAATAATAGTGTTGTCTTTATTTGAGGGGAAAGTCGCATTAACACTGGTCAGAAAGTTCTGGTAAGAATGTCCAGATCCATCTTGTGAGAATTTATGGGATTATCAAAGTAGATGGGGGGGGGAGTTTTCAGATTACTGTTTTTAAAAAAGACACAGAAAATTTAACAGTATAAGCAGTTTTAACACAGATTGACAGATGCAGGTGGGCATAAAGTTTGTGCTACCAACTAAAGAACCTAGCACAGACTGCAGAATTATTAAAAAGGAAGCAAAATGCTAGTATGTAAGGTTAATTGGGACAATGCAATTGCTGAGATTAGTGAAAACCTAGTTTAGGTGTCACAGAATCCAGAGCAGTATTAGCCTGACAGAACGAGTTTCAGACTTAAGAATGACAGACAATTGTGCAGTTTGGTCTAGTCTGTCTCAGAAGCATGAATGAAAAATTAGTATGTACACATAAAGATTGGTTAGAACAGTGTTTGATTTGGTAGCAATATGTGGAACTTCGCTTTTGCTGTTTGGATTGTAATGTCCCTTAATACATGCTCAAAGCACAAAGATTCAAGGACGGTTCAGTCTGCAAATAAGTCTTGCTTTTGAAAGGTAGTTGTCATGCATATTTTTGTGATCAGTTGTATGCATCAAGAACAGATGAGTAACACACGTTTTGCTTAGTTATAAGTGTTTGGTTTTTGCTCTAAAGCTTGCCATTTCAGATCATTATGCTTGCTTAGAAGACTAACTTTGAAGGCATTTGCTATCTTTAAGGAAGAGACAAAGATGTAACAAATCTATAAAATAATCTAGATTTCTTTTTCTAGATAAACTATATTTCAGTTGACTAGTTTCCAACATGTGAAGTGAAATACTAGACTTTCTCGATGATAACCTATATTCCGTATAATAACAAAGTCACAAGTTCTCATGTTCCATTCCTGTTTTGCTTATTTGGAATGTCATATTGCTTGCTATATGTTCTGTGATGTCTTTAGCCATTTACTGGCTGAAAGGAGAGTTATTGCAGTCATATTTAAGATAACTATTACTTTTTAATTTTTCGAGTACAGGTTTTATAAAAAGAAAGTTTTTTGTCATTGTTGGTAATATATACTAGATGTATTTCATTGTATTTTTTTGGATGGGTAGGCATTAATATTTATTTTAAAAGTCAAGTTTTAATAGGTTCTAATGTTATAATATGATTGAATTGTGGAAAAATAAATTAATCTGGAAATAGCTTCTGAAGGGGTAATATCCTTGCAGAGTTTTTGATTGGAGTATCTTATGTCCTGATGTGTTATCTTACATTATAAACTCATGCAAAGCACAATTACTAAATAAATAGGAATAAGTAGGAAAAATTACTAAGTAGGAAAATTAATAACAGATTGTTTGCCATAAATTACTAAGTTAATTACCTGCCTGCAGAATCTTTAAAATGCATCTTAGTTTCTGTGTTGTCTTTGTTTAATTTTTTATGAGAGGGGATGCTGGTCAGCAAAACAACTTGCCCTGCCCCCATCAGGGTCATGTTAAGCATACCCAGGTTAATATAATCTTTCAGTACCATTCATATTTAATAGTTGATCAACAATTTGTGAATCTAGGTCCAGATTAATTTATCTAGTCCTTTAAGGCATAAAGGACAAGGACACTAGGAACATGATTTTTTCAGCTTATGTATGTGTATATCTAAGAAAAACAGGCTGAGCAGTACTGAGCTTGATTTTTGAGATGTCATCTTTGACCTTTGTTTGTATTCCTAGCATTTAAATTTGTGTGTGCAGGTTTTGGGGGTTTTCTGTCAGAGGACAATAAGTTGTATTAACATTTGAATACCAGCTCAAGCCTGTACAGCTTGCAATTTTGTGGTTAAAAACTGGCAGCTAATCAGAAGGAGCAAAATTAAATCCAAGTTAGTAATGGCAACAGAGATTAAACAGAAGCTCTGCTACCATGTTTTCTTTATGATCAGGTTTTGAAGTTCTATTTACTCCACTGACTTTCTGCCATCAAAAAATTATTTTACTTAAAAGAAAAATGAAAACACAGGATACATACCCAGAAGTACTTGAAGTGCATCATATTCTTATGCAAGATAGTCTTATTTCTCTTTGTTCTTCCCCCAGGATGATTGCCTTGTGAAAGTATGGTACAATACAGACAGCTGGCGATCAGCCATAACACCACCTGGCGCAAGTCCAGAAAAACAAGCAGAAGTAGTTGATTTTTCATTTGTCTATTTGGCTCATCCTCGGTCAGTAAACGCATTTTCATGGAGGAAGACCAGTAAATTCATGCCACGGTCAGTAATTCTGATAACCTGAGGTTTGTAAATTGCACAAAAAACCCCCAAACTGTGTAGTCTTCCCAGCTCTACAGTCAACAGTCACACAAGTTGTTCAGTTTATTATTATTTCAGTTAATAATTGAGTTTACACATCTTGTATATTGTTCGTGTGTGTTCGTATAATTCCTACACACTGAAGTTCTTGAGAGGATGGTAAGCATCCTCCTACCCGAGAAGGAACTGGAAAGATAGAAGGGGAGTCCCACAGACTGGCTTAGAGATTGGACTAAATATAAAATCAGCTGTTGAAAAATTACATCCCTTTGCATCTTTTTGATTGCACTGTCTTAAATGACCATTCATGCATTTGGTCCCAGCCTGTTGCTCTCTTTCTATCCTAATGGAATCAGAGCAATTCAAAAGTCCTGTCACTTTAGGTTGTCTTTGTCCAACATTCAAGTACTTCCATGTCTTTTTAATTTATTTCTCTACCTAGTACAGAACTAAACCTCTGTCAGAAACAGTATCTGGAAATTAAATCGAAATGATCATTTGGAAGTGGTAATCTGGGTTTGATTTGTGTGTGTGTGTGTTCTGATGATTCCTAAATGACTAGTCCCTAGTTTTCACCAGTAATTGCAATCTCAAACTGAAGTAACATTAGCAATTTTGTGCCCTGCAACCATCTTTTTGCCATATTATTCGAAATAGTAGCCATTTGAATTCTGCATACCTTTGTGTGTTTGAGCAAGTTTATGCTGTCTTTTATACCAACCTTTAAGTAGAAGAATCTTCATAAAGCTATTACTGTAGTCCTTAAATCAGTTTTGAAAATCCACCTACTCCTTGATGCCTAAGGAAGTTTGCTGCTGGACAGTCCAGTCAGATGATCCATATAGTTTTTGAGTCTTAGCTAACACTAAATTCTGAAATTACATGAACTGGAAACCTGATGATCTTCATAGTTTTACTTCAATGCCTAGTTTAGGTTAATTAATTTTTTGTATATATGTGTAACACAAATTGCATTTGGAAAAATAGTAATTAAGAAAAGTTAGTAGTTTGAAATTGGCTGTTGTATTCTTGGTATTACCTTGGTTTCTCTGTTTGGGATATATAATTTTCTAAGTGCTAATAGCAGTAAGATCTTGGGAATTGAGAACAGGTATCCAGAATATGATTAGGTTTTTTTGTGAAGGACTTTAAAAAGAAAAACATAGGTTTTGCTGTTCCAGCTGTGACTAATTCTGTAAATTGAAATCCATGATTTGGTGTTGCACAGATGTGTAATGAAGTTTGAGGTAGTTCATATTCAGATACTTGAACAGGTATGAAAGCCTTTCATACATCATTTGTTTTCCGAATAAAGTATTAGTGAGTTTTTCTTTCCTTAGCATCTTTAAGTTACTTGGTGCAATTCTGAAAACTGATAATGGAAAATTGTTTGCTACTGTTGCTTTATTTTGATGCTATGTCATAGTAAGCAGCTTCTTCACACCTTAAATTTTCTTTCATTAGGGGTGCTGTCTGCAATGTACTCCTGACTTGCTGTAAGGATAATGTTTGTCGTCTCTGGGCAGAGACTTTGTTACCCAATGACAGTCTGTTGTATGGTGGAGGATACAATAATTGGAGTGAAGCGGTGAACTTCACAAATAACTTCAAGAGAAATATTTCAAGTAAGGAAAAAGTGCAAAATGCTTTAGAGGTAAGAAGTGAAATTGAACAGTGAGAATAAACACGTGTACACACGCGTAATTTGAGACAGGATTGTAATTAGGAGCTCGAACATGTATCATAAGCTGAAATCCTTTATACCATAGATGTGCATAAAATATTACAAAAGAGTGGATTTACTTTAAATCTTCCTTAGGAAGGCTAAGCTGACAGCTGTCTTACCAAGCTTTCACATTAGAAGACACACTGTCGTTACATCACTACTGCCTGTTTTGCTCTGGTGACTAAAGCAAAGTGCTTTGCAGTATCTAGTTCAAAGGGCTAGGAACAGTATAGAGCACATATTGTACACAGAATATGTGACACTCACTAATGATGCTGCCTTAAAATGTAAGGGGGCTCACTTTTTACCTCTGAAGTTGGGATGTTGTCTGGCTTCTGCAACTGGAAAAACAGTGGTAATATGGAGGGAAGAAAGATAGCCTTTGTTGCCTTTCTGCTGTAGTCCTCAGGTAGAGCAGACTGCTCGTAAGCTGTATCTCTGAGGCAAATGATCCTTACCAGATAGTGTTTTCTAACCAATGGGAAGCAGGGGGAAGGTGAAGCATTAGTGGTCTTTTACAAAGCTATGTAGAGAGTATGTGGATATTGTGCTCTTATCTTAATGGACTGATGGATTTAAGATGATCATGGTGCTTTCTTAGCACATGTGGCACAGATGAAAAATATGACAGGCTGAAAGGCACAACACAGCAAAGAAAAAAATTCAAAGGGGGGAGGGGAAAAGAAGTTGGAGACAGTTCCGTGTTCCTATTGAAAATAAGAGGCAACATTAGAGATCAGAAATAACAATTAAATAAAAATTGGGAGAAAACTCTTTTACAGGAGCATGCTGGTAATATGCAAAGGATAGCAAGTGAAAAGGAATGCCAAGAGTGTAATACCATCCTTAATACAAATCATGTACCACCTTGTACCTTTTGGTGTCTATATAGATAGCTACAGCACAATGGCCGTGAACTGTGCAGTATGTGGAGTGAGACTTCTTAATACTGGCATAGTTAATCTTAACAATTGAATATTACTTTTCCCTTGGAAACATCTATTTGCATAAAAGAGGGAAGGCCTTAAAACTCATTGGGCCATTATGATGGGAGTGGAAGTACTGATCCAATCAGATCCGAAGTACTGATCCAGTTTTTCAGTCTCTGAAATGAAATTATGCAGATTTCCTGCTTTTTTGTTCAGAATCTTGAATAAGCATGATATACCTTTATGAAACACAATAGTATTTTCTGTTTAAGTATAAAAACTGTATGAGCATTTTCTGCATACTGAAATGTGAAGCAGTTACTATGTCAAGGTACTGTGTGGGCCTTCATAAATTAGTCTGAAGGCACTGGTATCTCTACTGCAGACACAACCTGAACAGCGTAGTTTTTGCAAGAAACTCCACTGATAATTTCAAGTAGCTTTTAAACTGAAAAATTTCCTTCACTAGTATCTAGAAAACCACTTACAGATGAAATATGATTTTTCTTTTTGAAAGGAATTAAAAATGACACCTTATTCTTCATGCAGTTAAACCTGAGGCACTTCCGACGAGGAAGGAGGAGGTCGGGTGCTGTTGTAGCACATACTGGATATGCTCCACATCAGCAAGATCCCCATGAAGTTCACAGGAACATCCCTCCTCATGCAAATGCACTTTGTCACTTCCATATTGCTGCCAGTATCAATCCAGCCACAGGTAAGAAGTGTGGTAAATCCTTGCTACAGGGTGAGCTACAATTTCGGTTAGGTTTGTGTTGTCTCTGTAAGCTTAACTGGCTCAGATGTGTTTGTACAGTATTTACATGATCATGCAACATCACTAGCATGTTGGTTTCATTTAAGTCATGGAAGAACCTTCTTCTACAGTCATGAAATCATTTGAATAGATTTTCTCTACAGTAATCCTGTCTTTCATTTTTGGTCATCTTTTAACTGAGATTCACAGTGGTCTGAAATGCAGGAGGCTAAGTATTTGTAACTGGAGTTACAAATTTGCTGGGAATTGTGTATGATATTGGGAGCACACTGATAAATCAAAAATTTCTAGGCTTCTGAAAATGAGTACCTGACACTAAGTGTCTGAAGTAACCACACATCACTGTACTTTGGCCTCTGAACCAAGCAAAACACGCCTTCATCTTGTGTTCCATAAACTTTACTATTCTCTTGCACTCAAGCAATATGTTGATAGGCATTAAGGAAAATCCCCTATAGTCACCAATATTTCTGTCTTCATAATCGTTTGTGTATGCTGAAAATGAAGTGCATGTCTGCTCATTGAAAAACTGAATAGAAATGCAATATTGAATGGCCTTTCATTAAGGTTTTATTGCTATGATGTGACTTCCTGTGTCTAGACTTAATGAGCAAACATATTATGTAATCCTTTTCTTAAACTAGTAAGCTCTGTCTTACAAATAGTATTTTTAAATTGTTTTTTGTTCCTCCTGACCATTGTTTGAAAGGCCAATTTTGACCTAAAGACATTCATGAGTAGTTCCTGTTTGTAGCTGTACAGTCTTTGGTATGATTATAAAGAACTATTGGCTTCCATTACCATTGCTGGGCTAAGCAAGCTATAAAAGCTTTCTCCTGTAAGATTAGAGTTAGTCTTCACCTTTTTTGGTATTGGTTCATGTTTCTTTTAACAGATATGGCCGGAATCACATCCAGCCTACTAAAAGGGAACTTTTTGCAGTTTTGTGCTGTGCCATCAATGCTATCCTATTTCTACAGGAAATGTCTCCAGTCATTACATATGTTACTACCCAATGTCATAAAGGAAAATTTCTCCAAAGCTTCTTGGAAATGTGTAGTTCACCTCTCCGCATTTCTGCGTGTTCAGATTGCCCGGGGAACTAGCTAACCTTTTCATGTGGCTAGCACATAATCTTTCACTATCTTTTTTGTGTCTACTCTTAATGCACTTATTTCCTTGTTTATTTATACATAATAACTAAGTAAACTTTAAGTTCACTTTTAATAGTCTTTGCAATATAAATGTGCCCAACAGCAAACTCACAGAATGGGAATAAAAATAATTTTGGAAACAAACGATAAAAGATTTTCCTATATGTCTAACACTTTGGTCTTTTTAATCTTGTATTCCTTCTATGTTATCTGTATTAATGTTATCTATCTTAATACTGTGTTTTGGATCACTTGGTCTTTAACTCAGTAGTTTGGAGGATAATGGGTTGTTCTTTAATGCAGAACCTCCGTTCGAAGTAACTTTCACATCTTAAATCTTAATTTGAAGAAATACCTGTTCTCCCTCACAGTCAAGTCCTTAAGTACCTCAGTCTAACCAGATTCTCTAGGTAGTCCTTTTAGTTTGCCCTTTTGAAATTAAATTTTATCTGAAAACCTAATTGTATTTTCTTTCACTTAATTTAAACCAAATTGGTTTATGATCTCTCACTTGAAAATTTGCCCTTAGGACAGCATTCAGAGTACTTGATAAAAACTAAGGCCAAAGCAGCTTTATCTCTAGTTCACTTCACTTTTTGAAGAATGCTGTCATATAGAAGAATAAATGCCTTTTCAATTTTTATTGTATTTGTGTTCTGTTGTTAATTTTGAAATGCATTTTCCTGTAGCAACAAAATCCTTGAGACCTTTTTTTATACTTGACTGTTATTTAAAGTGGTATGCAGCCTGGGTGGAGTTCAGCGAAAGGAATAAGCAGTGGTGTCCAGAGCTGAGCATCAGTTAGAAGTTGGTAGTTTCATGGCAGGAGAATGGGGGGAAAAGTTATTTCTTTAGCAATCTTTTGATATATCCTCAAAGTACATAGATTTATATTCTAATCTGAAAAGTCATCTTTCCAGTTCACCACCTTATTCACGTTTACTGTAGTTTCGTTTTCCAAAGAGAGGTCAACAGAATTCTTCCTTCAAAGTTCTGTTTTTGCCAAATGTATTACGATATTTGTAAAACTGGCGTTAATTGGCCTTTTTAGGAAAACATTGTATTTCTTAAATACTCTGCGTTCTTCTTGCCCCCCTCCCACCAACAAAACTGCTGGTAGTCATGGTGGCCCTTTCTTCTATCTCTGTGCTCTCAGTTACCGTTTTCTTAGGCTAGACTGGAGGGTAAGTAATTCAAAGCCATCACTGGCTTTGAAAAAAACACCAGAATTTGAGTAAAAAGTATTTTGCCTCCCAGGGCATTGAATTTAAGTAATGCTGCATAAACAGGGAGCAGGAGATGAGAATATATATGGAGACTTCTAGGTGGGAATTAAATGCAGGTTGAGCTTTTAGCATGTTGCTGTATGGTCCATTTGAGGAGATTACAGTAAATCACCTAGCTGCTTTTTAGCCACACTTCATTTAGATGATGTTACTCTGAAGCAGTCTGATGTTTGCTTCTGTTGCTTACATTGTGATTATTGCTGTATTTTGTACAGCCACCTGGGGCAGCAAGTAGCATCCTAGGGCAATGTAAAATAATAATGGAATCTATAGGAATCAGAAATCCTGGCTTTATGTGATGTTGTTACAAAGTCACTGTACTAGTGTTTGCTAGTGTAAGCCCTGCCGTAAGTGGTACTTGATTACAGTGTATACCTACTGCAGCCTCCATTGTGGACTAAATGTTGGGAAACTATGCTTAAATTATTTGGTTTGTACTGAGCTGTAGTAGTAAAAGACAAGGTAAGTTAACCTGTATGGACAGAGTTACATCATGAAGATGTAACAGTCTAGGGCCATACTGTAATCCTAATGTAAGCATACCCAAGAGCCTCCTGTGGAGCATCTGTTGTTGTAGCAGTCAAGCAATTTACTAGTGAAAGTAGATGATGTTGGTGAAGTGAATGACAAGTGGCAATACACTTAGTGTATTTTTTTCATGACAGAGTTTCTGCTTAAAAAAAATTTCTCTAAAATTCTTTTTTGACCAAACTGCTTGGTTTTCAAAAATGTCAACATCTTTTTCTTATAGATATTCCTCTACTTCCTTCTATCACATCTCTGAGTCTTGGTGAAAATGAAGAAAAAAGTGGACCTTTTGTTGTGCACTGGCTAAACAATAAAGAACTTCATTTTACCTTATCCATGGAAGTATTTTTGCAACAACTTAAGAAGAGTTTTGAACATCATTCTCCTGAGACTAATACTGAGGAATCTAATCAAATGGATGGTAGATCAGAAGAAGGTAAAAGTCTTATCATAGACAAATGGCTTTCATTTTACAAAGTAATTTGGAATGTTCTTTCATGTGAAGTAAGAGGTGGGTAAATTGACATGTAAGGATACAGACAGATTACGGTAGCATTTCTGCGCATTTTCTTCCCTTCCTCTGCAAGTACCTGTATCCTGAAATGCTGAATTTGTTTATGGTTGTTCCAGAGATTTTGAGTTAGTTATGCTGAAAACTGTGTTACTTAAGCTGATCTGGAGACCTTTGCATGAAAGTGTGTTATTTTAACATGTTTAAGGAACCAGGTGCAACCTTAGAATTAACTTTCTTTCTTTTAATATTAATGTACACCTAATTTAAATAGCTTTATTTTATATATAATATAGTCAATTAATTTACATATATACAGTTTGGCAATGACTGCTTTTGTTCTGCCTATGCATGCAAAAATGTATATAAAATGGGGAAGAATAAAAATATTTCAAATTAATGTGCAATATAAACTATTTTGGTTTGTTAGTCATTGACTGAGGTCCACTAGAGGATTTCTCATTCAAGTTTTCATTATTTTGAATTTGTGCTTATATGAGTAGTTTACAAAAGGCCTGAAAGGTGCTTCAATGCCTGAATAACACTGCTTGCTGCTATACTTCTGCTTTTGAATATAATATATATATATATATATATCTGTGTGTGTTCTAGAAGTTGATGAAAATGGAGATGAACAAAAAGGAAACCAAGAAAAGAAGGAAGTGGGGGATGAGAAAACTCCAAATTCAAGCCTTGTTCCTTTATCTTCTGCTATTATTGATCATGAAATTGAAGTACTACTTTCTGAATGGAGTAAAAATGCTGACATGCTATTCAGTATACATCCTATGGATGGTTCACTGCTGGTGTGGCATGTGGACTGGCTTGATGAATACCAGCCTGGCATGTTTCGTCAGGTGCAGGTACTTTATTTTTTCTGGATTATGCATTGTTATTCCGTGAGAAGTATTATGAAAAAATAACTTTAATACTTATTCTTTCTCCCTTCTTAAAATTTCAGGTGTCATTTGTCTCAAGAATTCCTGTTGCATTTCCGACGGGTGATGCAAACTCTCTTTGCAGAAGTATAGTGATGTATGCTTGTACCAAAAATGTTGACTTAGCTATTCAACAAGGCAAACAAAAACCTCCTGGCCTTACACGTTCTTCATCTATGCTTATCTCTTCTGGACACAGTAAATCAACCAACAGTTTAAAACTAAGTATCTTCACACCCAATGTTATGATGATTTCCAAACATGCAGATGGGTCATTGAACCAGTGGCTAGTGAGTTTTGCTGAGGAATCTGCTTGTTCAACCGTACTCAGTATTTCACATAAATCCCGATATTGTGGTCATCGTTTTCATCTTAATGACTTGGCTTGCCACTCAGTATTACCACTGCTGCTTACAACCTCACATCACAATGCTCTAATTTCACCAGATGTTGAGAGCGCAAAACAGGCAAATGATTCTTTAAAGTCTCAAGAGTCACCAGTAAGACTTCAGAGTAGAGGCAATGCAGATGTAACATCCCAGGATCCCAATGCAGTTTACAGTGAACTTATTCTTTGGAGAGTTGACCCTGTTGGGCCTTTGTCCTTTTCTGGTGGAGTTTCTGAACTTGCTCGGATCAATTCTCTTCATGTTTCGGCTTTTTCTAATGTTGCATGGCTGCCCACACTTATACCTAGCTATTGCCTTGGTGAGTTTGGTTTCCTGATTTGTGAAGTGTTCTAGAATAAAAGTAATATAACCTAATAATGCTATTAAATGGATAATGTAGATGTACTTGAATGCATTGGAAAAAATGTTAAGCGTGGGTCCTTTATTTCACAAATTTCCAAGCTGCTCATACGTGGAAATTATTTATTCCTGTGTAAAGAATTGCGGGGTTCTTCTGCCTTCTTTTATGTATTTCATATTTTAGAAGCTAGTGCAGTAGGGTTCTTAGATGCTAGTGCGTACTTCAGAGTGCATTGAACACTTTAAGCAGAGGTAGATTTTGCTCTGGTTTGCAAATGGGATTCTCGTTTCCTTTCGTGTACTTTGATTGGGTTGCTGAGTGCAGCATTAAACTTTGTAGTTCTTGCTTGTGAACAGAAATTAACAAGAGAGAATTTTTCTTATGCTATATTGTTTTCTTTCATAACTTCAAAATTGCCTCTTACAAAAAAAGGGAGCAAGTTGGTGTTTGAATATTTGAGCACTTTCTGCATTCTTATTTTTCAGGTGCATACTGTAATTCTCCAAGTGCCTGCTTTGTGGCCAGTGATGGACAGCATTTGAGATTATATCAGGCTGTAATAGATGCAAAGAAACTTTTGTGTGAGCTTTCCAATCCAGAAATTTCTGTAAGTGAAAAGCTGTCTCAAGTTTTTGCAGGTTGGAACTTCATTCAGTAGCTCTAGTTTCAGACATGTTCGTAACTAAGCTGGTTGCTGAGGATTTCACATTGTAGCCATACTGTGTTCCATTTAATCTCAGACTCTGCATATTGAGGCAGGTCAATGTTTGTTTGGGAAATACCTCTGTAACACATTACAAGGAGTAATAACAGAGCAACAAACTGTGTGCGTTGTCCATCCTAAGGAAAAGTTGAGATGACAATGCAGCTTGGGGAAAGGACAATAAACTGCTGAATGCAAGGCTTTCCAGATGAGAGATGCAGGTTCCTGTCACCTTTCAGCCATCGAAAACAATGTGGCTCTTGATAAAACTGTGTTCTTGGTGAATTTCAACCAGTGTATATTTAATGCTTTAGTTAACATTTCCTTAGTGATGTTGCACCTACCTAGAAGGCTGTGCCACAGAAATACACAAAACTGAGTTAACAAGATCATCTCCCTGACTCTTTTTAAACAGAAATATGTTGGTGAAGTTTTTAACATCATAAGTCAGCAATCTACGGCTCGTCCAGGATGTATCATTGAACTGGATGCTATCACAGAGCTTGTAAGACCTTTCTCTGTACTCATTTTATACCATAATTAGCTTGTTTAAAAAGTGTTAATAATAAGGCTATACCTGTAGCTCTCCATTGGATAAAGATGAGGTATTTAAAGACTAATTCTAGCATACACTTGCTTTTGGTTTCATAGTACCTGTAAATGAAAAAAATGTGAGTAATGAAGGTGCATTTTCTTGAGAAATCTTTCACTGATGTGTGTAACTTAACAATCAAGTTAAAAGCTCCCATGTTAGAGAGCAATCTTAAACAGTATGCTCCATGATGTTCACTTCTTGTGTGTGTTTTTGCTTTCTTAGCATGGCAGGAAAACACAGTTATTCCATGTTTTTCAAGAAGACTTCATTTTAAATAACCAGGAGAAGGGAATACCTGAAAAGAAGAACAATTTATCAGACTCTGGTAAAGAAATTTTTTTCATAGAACTTTGAAGACAAAATATTATATTTTTTTTCCACAGTGGAAAAAGAACATGTTATATATATAGCTTTTAGCATTTTAAGGTCAAATACCTTACTCTATTTGAGATCTGTATATACCAAAGAAAATCTAATCTAATGAAACTTGGGTGTTTCACTTCCTTTAAGAGTAGTGCGCAACCAAATTTAGACAAAGTAGCTTAAATCATGATATACCGATCAGGTACTGTATTAAGCATTCCATTGCTGATACCTTTCTTACATGAGGGGGAAAGGGTTTTAAATGTAGAGCCTGTAGCTGTAGGGTATGACATAGACAAAGCTTACTTGGGACCTTTCATGATGGATGTTCATCCTTTACATCAGCTAAATACTGCTCCTCAGGCCTCGTGTTGTATAATAAATGACAGGCCAAACGAGTCTGCCAAAACACAACTATAAAATACAATATTGTGAGTAGTGTGTGGATTTGTAGGTCTTAGGGCGGATGTGAATTGCTCTGGAATAAATGATCAGTTTTCCTTGGTGGAGTGGGTGAGTAGTTGTGTTATATAGGCATCTTAATTTTGTTTTGCTCTGTTCCGTTAAAATAATGTGGAAAAAAAGGATCAGAGTAAATGTTGTGATATTAAGTCATCTGCAGTGGTAAAGAGAATGCTGAATAAAAAGCAAAGTTGTGGAGCAGTGTAAAAATGTCGCATAATAGCTCGATACACAAAATTTATTTTTCTTAGAAGAAAAGGGAGACACCTAGGGAAGTATTACCCGAACTGTATATACATAATGATCAATTCTGAATTAGCTGTTTCTAGTCAAGAAAGAGATTTGGAGTAATGAAGATTATCTATGCAAATGTCAACCCAACTTTCAGCAGAGGTCACAAAATGCAAACGGGTTTTTGAAAATGAGGAAGAAAATAGAGAACAAAAAGAACTGTTACTCTACAGCATAAATTTGTTGTAAGTTTGCATCTTGAGCATGGTATACAGAAAGGACTTTAAAAGAAACATGGAATACTTGATCTTAGAAAAGGGCAACTGTATACATCTGTATGTGTTTTGAAGGTCTATATGGATTGCTGCTATGTAAGAAATTGGACTAAGTGGACCCTTTGAAAAACTGTGAATTAGAAGTGTATCATTCACATACATTCTAATTTGAAAGTATTTTCTAGTACTTTAAAGCTCTTTAGTTTTTTAAAAAAACACTATTTCCTCTTCAATAAAACATGTAAGTATTTAGCATATATTATTTTTAAAAAGAGAACAAATTCGCTTGTGTTTTTCTACAGTACCATAAATAACCCAATGTCAAGCCCACAGGGCAAATACAGCTTATTCTTGATCATGTTTTATGTAGATGCACACCTAAAGAAGGGTCGGAGGAATCATGGAGGAAAGATGGGCACTAAACTAACTATTCCTTCTTGGTTGTAATGGGTTTATTTTGGTGCTAAGGAAGAAAAATGGCTGCGTGCACCCTCCAGAAATGGGCTCCTACTGATGTTGTCTTTTCTTGGGGTGAAAATATAGCAAATAATTTCTTAGGAAGAAACGTTGTACCTCTTGTGCATTCCAGACTATACAGGTGGTCTGTCTGGGTTGTGATGGATGAGCCTATCCATTAGACCAGGCTATGACTTTCCCAACTGTTGGCGTGGCATTTCTTCTCTAGATGTAACTTGCATACCTTTTATACATTAAAGGCCAAACCTCTGTCTAGCTCACTGGCTTAACCGTTAAAGTTGCCAGTAATGGGTAGCTAAGAAACTGTAAGACACAAGCACGTAGAAGACAAAGGTGTAGAGCTGAGAGTATATTCTGGGATTTAACTTTAAACACAGTAAATTCAGGCAAATATTTTGTCCTCTCTAAAAGAAAACACTGATAGTTCTTCATGTGTGTACCTATAATTGTAGTGGTTACTGCTTGTGATAAAATACTGAGAAAACTAATATAACAGAGTCGGATGTAGTCACTGTTGCATTTCAGTATTAGTTCACGATAGCTTAATATGTTTATTTGCTAGCCAGCAAAATTTAGTTCTGCTTTTAGGTGCCTAACCCCTAAGATCTTCCTGTTCTGAATTTCATCAGGAAACAAGCACAATGGATTCTCTGAAAAATTCTACTTAATAGTAATAGAGTATACTCAAAACCATTCATTACTACATATGTGGCATTTACATTTGAAGTCAATTCCAGTCTCAGTAGGTAAGCCCTCTTTCTTGTAGTTTTCTGTTTTTTTAAAAAAAAGTCACTATCTTGTGAATATATCTGCTATTCAGTATATTCTAAATTGTATTTCAGCTTTTTGAGAAGAATCTGCAATTCTATTACCAGCTTTCACCACAACCCTTTCTTTCTTGATTACTTCTTAATGTTCAGAATGTTGAAGCTTTTGAGTTCAGCCTGAGCCCAAAGTTTGGTATTTTTTGTGCATTCTAAGGGAAAAAATATATATCTGGTTTTAATACAGTGTAACAGTTCAGATGTTTTGCTTCTTAGAAGACTTTGTTCTGCAATTTTTGAGTTTACACATAAGTTCTAAATTGGACCGTAGTCTGAAGCACCTAAACATCAGAGCTACAATTACAATTATGAACAATTCTGAAGTTCTGAAATCTGCTAGTTCTCTTTCAGGCTACCAAACTACCTCAAAAAGTATAAAACTTTTTAAATAAGCTAAGATATATTTCAGTAGTTTTCTTTTAACATTTAAAGACTTTAAGAAAACATATATCTGGCATTTACTACATACCAGAGGAATCTGTTATAATGCATGTTTCTGTCATTTAAACCAAATTGGTATTTGTCTTACAGTTGCTTTCAAAGGCAGAATTTCTTCAGTTATTTTAAGTATTATTGCTATTAGTTTGAGTTCATGAGAAGACTAAAGATCCAAAATTTTTGATCTACTTGTATGATTAGGACATTGCTAATAAGGCTTTTCAACCAACCTGTTGTCAATCTTCATGTTCCAAATCCATCAAATTCATACTTCAGCTGCTGAGTTTTATTAAAAAAAACAAAAAACAAAAAAAAAACCAAAACAAACCCAAAGCACTTGTATCACATAATCTCGGAGATCCTACATATTAGGGAAATATTAACAAAACTTTTCTGAAAAATACCTTTCCCCAATTTGTAAGGCAAGACATGGAGATCTTAATTTAATTTTCTCTAGCTGCAGGTATTTTGTGCTTCATGAAGCGTTAATTTCCATGGATAACCACATACATACCTCTTTCATCTGCAGTTTTGGTGTTTCTGGTTACAGTTTGATTGTTCTAAGTCTGAACTGTTTAAAGCTGTAACTTCTCAGCAGTTCTAAAATTTCAGAAGTATTTAATCTGAGATGTGCTAGCATTTCTTTTTAAATCTGAATTTGGGAATGCATTTCATTAAAATGAAAGTAAAACTTTAAGTCATGTTTTATCTGTCTTTTTGCAACTTCTGAGGTGAGTAAAATTAATTCTTAGGTTAAAAGAAATCATTGACTCTTTTAAATTAACAATGCCAACTTTTTTAGATGAAAAGGTAGATTCAAATACACCTGAAGCAGCAACACAAACAGAAGAATTGTATTCTTCACCAGATCCAGAGAAGATCCAATCACCTTTCACTCAAAAGTATCAGGCCTGTAGAGCCAATCTTCAGAGCACCAGCTGGCTTACTCTGTCTTCCAAAATGGTGTATAGCCAAGAGTTGCATTTGCCAGAAGGAGTAGAGATAATAAGTGTAAAGCCATCAGCAGGTTTGTAAATTTTTTAAAGAATAAAATAAGGAATCCTTGCCTTTCTGACTTTGGTCTTAAAATAGAAACAAAGTAATAGTAAGTTTGGTATTTGTTTTTAAAATTAAAATGCCTGTAGGTGGATCCAAAAGGTTTGCTAAAACTTGCTCCCCTGACTTTATATCTCGATTCTGGAACTAATACTAAAATAAAACTTTCATTTAAGGTATAATATTTATGGAATTCCAGGTTCTTGCAATAAAAGGAATTACAGAAACACAAATTTGGTTTTGCAGTCATTCATGAAATTTTTTGTAGGATCTGTTTGTAAATTTTAAGGCTTCCATCAGTAGTCTTTCCAAAAATATTTTATAAAGATTTTTAGATTTCTGAATGGGAAATGCTTGTTTGTTTGTTTGGGAGAGATGAGAGATATTAATATTCAGGTTTAAATCATATAATTTGACTCCTTTCTAGACCATGAAATAGAAACAAAGGGTAAAATGGTTTCACAGTATTTTTGTCACGTTGTCTCCTTTGTGAGGCCCTGCAAACAACCCTCTTTGTGAGGAAGTGCTAATACTTTTTTGTTTCAGAATAACAAAATGATAACTGAATAAAAACTTCTTTACTTTTTTGTTTGCTTTTTAATATTTCCCCCAGTAAAAGTGTATTTTATTTAATTCTAGGACATCTCAGTTCATCTTCCATATATCCTGTTTGCCGTGCACCGTATCTGCTGGCTACTTCATGCTCTGATGGAAAAGTTCGATTCTGGAGATGCAGAGTTACCTCTGAATCATCAGCTTCTTCCATGCAAGAATATAGTGCACATAGTGATGTTACATATGTATGGGAAGAATGGCCATTACTGATTGAAGATGGACTTCTTAGCAGTAGTGCTATTAATGTTCCAGGAAGGCCAACTGAAGTTAGCTGTGCACACACAAACAGATTAGCAGTAGCATACAAGCAGGTAACATCTAAAAATAGTCATCTTTCTCAAGATTTTGTAATGCATGTTAGTATTTTTGAATGTGAATCTACAGGGGGTTCTTCTTGGATTCTAGAACAGACTCTTCATTTAGATGAGATAGGCACCATGTTAGACTCTGGTGTTAGTATTGATAGTAATTTAGTGGCATATAACCGACAAGACATTTCTCTGTCTCATGGTGGGAGTATTATGCCCAGCACGAAGCACTTGGTACACTTAGATTGGATGTCTAGGGAAGATGGTTCGCATATTCTAACAGTGGGAATTGGATCAAAACTTTATATGTTTGGTCAGCTCTCTGGGAAAATGCAAGAACAAAATGGTAAGGAGATTGTAGCAATCTCCCATAGTGGCCACATGAAGGCTACAGCCCTTTCTAGGTTTGTTCTGCTGCGTTGTGTTGACTTGGTTTCATCTGTAGAGGGGTCACCTCCTTTTCCAGTCTCTTTGTCTTGGGTGCGTGATGGCATTCTTGTAGTTGGAATGGACTGTGAAATGCATGTTTATTCCCAGTGGCAATCTCCTTCCAAGCAGGAACTAGTTAGTACAGATTCCTCCAGTGGAAGTATGCCATGTATAACTAGCTTAATGAAACAAAGCCAGTCAGCTGCCTCAGGTCTGCATCCACCAAAGCGAACCTTGACCAGATCTATGACCAGCCTTGCACAGAAACTTAGTGGGAAAAGATCTGCCTGTGATCTGTCTACAGAAATGGAAGATTCCGGTCTCTTTGAAGCAGCTCATACATTATCTCCCATTTTACCTCAGTACCATCCATATCAACTGTTGGAACTCATGGATCTTGGTAAAGTACGTAGAGCAAAAGCCATTTTGTCCCATCTCGTGAAGTGCATTGCTGGAGAAGTTGTTGCTATAAATGAATCTGAACCTAATCACGATAAGAGGCTCAGATCTCTGACCATCAGTGCTAGTGGAAGTACTGCAAGAGATCCCAAAACATTCAGCAAAACTGAGACTACAGACTATATCGAAATAGACTCTGTTCCACCATTGCCTTTGTACGCTCTGCTTGCTGCAGATGACGATTCATGTCATTCCTGTTCAGAGAAGTCTAATAATCAAAATAGTCAAAATAAAAAAGATGTGCCCAATGACAATTATGAAGATCTCTTTCAAAATACTGTTATAAGTACAGATGAACTTGTTACTTTTGATGCAGATGAAGACAGTTCGAAACCAAAAGTCATTGATCTTTCTCAATATAGCCCAACTTACTTTGGACCAGAGCATGCTCAAGTTCTTTCTCGTCACTTGCTTCATTCAAGCTTGCCAGGTCTGACTAGGATGGAGCAAATGTCATTGATGGCCTTGGCAGATACGATTGCTACTACCAGTACTGACATTGGAGAAAGCAGAGACAGGAATCAGGGTAAGCTGTCTCTTAGTGTTAAATGTACTACTGTGCTTCACAACCTTTTTTGGGAGTTTTTCCTATTTTGGAATATTTCTGGGGCTTATGAAAGCACGTCATAGTTTTGTTTCATAGTATAGCCTGTATTATTTACTGTGCCATCACAGTATTTACTGTTTAATTAAAGTTTGAAGACTTCAGACTTCTATAAGATCCAATTTTGTGTTGCTAACTATTAATGCCAGTGTTAGTCTGTCAGTCTACATACTGTAATTGTTTCTAATACACTTTTGAAGAGGTGACTTTCCTAATGGCCAATGTTTGTTGCACTGTGTAGAGAAATCAAGAAATAAGTTTATGGATTTTTTTATATGATAATACTTTTTCTGTTTCTTGCATTAAAAACATAAAACTTGAAAACTC